AAAATTTAACTAACTCTTTGGATTTGGAGAAATTTCGGCAGCGTTTCCCATAGGAGAACCGTCTTTCCAAAATTTATACAAAGCCAAATATGAGAAATAAATTTATCCCAGAAAATGTTGAAATTGAACCAAGTAAAATAAATTTAGATTAGAAAAATGTGGGAATTGAACTAACTCCTACAGCTCCAGCACGCGGCGAGCATCTAAGGCATGGCTACGCCGGACCCAGATCCGGACATTTCCGAACATGGAACCAGACCCGTGTTCGGTAGTTTTCGGGCGTTCGGAATTTCGAACATTTTCGAACCTTTGGACATGAGGGGATCCGGACGGTCTGGATGTATGGACAGGTCCGAAAATGCTGAATAACAATGCAAACCACTTTTGCCTCAGAGTTGTGTCCGAATTCCTAACCAAACTTTAGCTAAAAGTCAAAAACTATAAAAACTTAAAAATAGACTTAAAAAACTAATAAAAGGTAATGAATTATGAATAATTACAAAATTGGGGTTGTCTAATAAATTATTATAGAGAGAGAGCATGCCCGGACCCCCCAAAAAAGCATATACAGGCCTGAAACCCCCCCAAAATAACTTTGCGGGCTTGGCTCCTCAATGGCCAAGTTTGATTCTCAGGGAAGTAGTTATGCTTGATTCTTTGTCGACCCCAGGTAGGGTGTCTACGAAAGACCCATGCACGAAGTTGTTGAAATATCCGGAAATCCATACGGTGAAAGATTGCAGAGCATTCCGAAAATTCTGGACCTTTTTTTTTTTCCCCTTTCTCGAAATTTAGTAGATCCGGACCTTCCAGACCGGACGTCTGGAGTCCGGACTGAATCCAAACCGTCTGGACGGCGGTCCGGACGTCCGGATCGTAGCCATGATCTAAAGCAACTACCTATCAAAGCTAAGGCTCAAAACAAGTAGAGCTCATACTCAACCACATGCAAGTCCATACCACAATGAGTAAGTACTCTCACCAAATCCCCAAGTTGTTTTCATACAAGAGGTTCATTACCTCTCACTTGAGTAGCACCCAGGCCATTCAACTTAAAAACAGTGTCTAGTATCTTGCCTTTACTTATAAACAAAACATGGGGCACAATAAAGATTCTCTCTTCGTTGGGCATCTGACTAAGCCATTCAACTTAGAAACCCTGCTTAGTTGCCCTGAAGTGTTTGATATCCAAGTTATATCTCCCTCTTCACTTTATAATCAAAAGCAGGCGTAAGGTTGAACATTCAACTTAGAAACACATGTTCACCCTGCCTGAATCTTACCTCTCATTATACTCTTAGTCAAATACTTTCTTCCTTTTTTGATAAGCTATAGTCAGGCCATTCAACTTAGAAACCCTGTCTGACTAGTTTGTTCATATAATATATATAATATACAGTATAGGGAAAACTATTATCAAATTCCTTTGTTTGTGTGCACTGCCTCCCAGACTAAGTCATTCAACTTAGAAACAACACTCAGTCTCAGCCTCAATTCCCTCAGAAAAAAACACGGAAAGAGTTGAGCCATTAAACTTGGAGACAAATACTAAACTATTTCCTTCAGTACTCAAAGAAAAGCAGGGATCCCTAGGCCATTCAACTTCGAAACTGATGCCCTGGGTCCATTCAGAAACCTCCCAAAAAAGCAAGTTGACCAAGTCATTCAACTTAGAAATGGATGCTTGGCACAACCCTTAACGCCTGTCCTGCGAAAACCATCAACTAACTCCTACTTCTACCATTACCTTTCAACTCGCCCAACCTCGGAACTCCCACTTTGCATCCTTCCTCACCCGATTCCGCCACGAATCGAGCGAGATGTTCGCTTCTACGTGCGGCCTTATCCATTCTCGCAACACTTCCGCACACACCATTTTGTTACTAATTTCCATTTTACTAACCCTTTGCTCAATCTAACTACACCCTTTCCTCTAAACCTCTACTTCGCTTCTTCTCGCCTCTCATTCCGTCAAAAATCGAATCGGCTATGAACTTCTCCCTCCGCCATACTTATTTTCCACCATCGCCTTTCCTTGGATGCGAAATCATGCCAGATCCATTCCCTCTCTTCCCATGCGTATCCCCCGTCTCCTCCCTTTCTTCACTCCGTCTCGGTAGCCTGTCCTCTCGTCTCCTCGACGCCCTCGTCCTCCCTGGCTGTCTCCCGTTGCAGCGCGCGGTCCGATAGCAACGTGAAAGCTGTTTGGCAACTCCAATTCTCCTAAGGGAAATTTCGAAGGATCCTACTACTAGACGGTCCGAATAGTCTTTCGCCCCTATACACAACTCCGACGAACGATCTGCACGACAGTATGGTTGCAGCCTCTACCTTAGCGTCTTCCCCCCTGCAGTGCGTGGTTCCACAATCGGGCGGTTCAATCAATCTTTCGCCCATACACCCAACTTCGACGAAAGACTTGCACGCCGGTTTCTCTTTGTGGTCCCACCACAACGACCCTGGCCTGCCCTGCACAGACAGTCACATTGCGACCCCAAACTGTGCACTAACCCAGACAACACAAAGGGTGTCAATAGATGCAGACAACAGGATGGTGACCATGGAAGTCGAAATCCGCTGAGGAGTGTGTAACTCACCTGCTGAATCCACCAGCCCGAGGCCTCGTCGAGTAGGACTCGGGCATGCTGCTGCGTCTGCAGCGTGAGCCTACGTGGAGCTGGTCCCGATGCAGATCTTGGTGGTAGTAGTAAATATTCAAATGGGAATTTTGAAGACTGAATTGGAAAAGGGTTTCGTGCGCACAGTTGCGCACAATCAATGTTGTTGTTGCCGCCTCTGCCCCGGTCCCCAGCCCTGCTACACCCCTGTCTCTTATACACATCTAGATGTGTATAAGAGAGATCCCCAGCCCTGCTACACCCAGGCATAGTTCACCATCAATGGGAATTTTGAAGACTGAATTGGAAAAGGGTTCCGTGCGCACAGTTGCGCACAGTCAATGTTGTTGTTGCCGCCTCTGCCCCGGTCCCCGGCCCTGCTGCACCCAGGTATAGTTCACCATCTTTCAGGTCCCAACCAAGCATGCTCACACTTGAACCTCACGCAACAGACCGTGGTTGGTGGACGACACACCCACAAAGGGTCCCCACCTCTCCGTTTTCATCTGCCTTGTGGGTTAATCACCCACCGGCTCGCTTGCATGTTGAACTCCTCGGCCCATGTTTTCACGACGAGCGGAATAGGGGAATCCGCCAGCATCCCGAGCACGCAAGAATTCTAACATGCAGGCCAAGAGGTGAGGTATACTCGAGGTCCTTGACTATCGTGACGACCACTTCGTGGGGACTGCAACCGCTGGCCCCTGCCGGCTGCAGCCCATGCTGGTTGGCACCCCATAAACAACCTTAGCATCGTCGCTGGTGCCGTGTCCCAGAAACGGGACCGACAACTAAAATAAGAAAAAAAAGAAAAAAAAAAAAAAAAGAAAAGAAAAAGTGAGCATCGAGAATCAGTGCTTTGGGGAGGGGAGACCGTCGACACCCCTCTCAATCCCGTCAACCGGGCCCACGCATGCGTAGACAACAAAACCAAGGGGGATAGCCCCGCCAGACCCTCGACCCCTCGTCATCTTCAATCGCTCCAATGCTCCATTGCCGCTGTTCGCCGCCCTCGATCCCCATACCTCCATAGTAGTAATCTGCGAGGCCCAAGACTGGGACTTGCACTAGCGCACGCCTATTTGAATGGGTGTTCACGCGGCGCGTGGGCCTACCGGAACACACCAAGGTCTCGCCTTTATTTACCGACCATTGTGATGATCAAGTCTCCGGTCGTCGAACCTCAACTCTTGTAGTGTGTCGGGCCAGGTGCTGCTTGTACCCGCCGTGTGCATCATCAACCGAACTGATCAAAGAAAAAAAAAAATTCTAATCCTAAATTAATCAAGACACAAGAAAGGTGGTCGGGGGCTCTGCTGCCCTTTCAATCATCAAAATAAGAAAATTATCACATGCGCCTTCAAATTGTGTGCCTACACACTATCTACTCCCTTCAAACAATCTCACACTCTTAGTCACAGAAAGAAACACGGTCGTGGCTCACACGACGCTCCTAACTCTCAACTCAAGATCATTTTCTGTCACTTGCAAAAATCAGGGCGGATACCCTTGTAAGGGTATTCTCGCCGACAGCGCGAGACAGTAGGAGCGACATTGAATACTGCGTTGGTGTGGTCCGAGGGCTTAGACATTGGCTCACGAGTTCATTGTTTCGCGCTTATTTGGATGGAATGTTTGTGCATTTGCGCTCTCTGCTTGTTACATGACTATCTGGATTTCTGGGTGATTTTGCAACTTGGTTTTCTGAATATCTGGCCTACTGCGGGACTACGCCGAGGTCCGTTTAACTCAAGGCATTTACCAGCTCCCTATGGGACAACATAGAGGGCATAGCGTCCTTTCCAAAAAAATCACCGCTAGATTCACAGGGTTGTGACCTCCCATTTGATCAGAGTAAGGTAGGTCACACGTCTTAAGATCATCTCCCAAATTTCACCAAATTTGCGACATTCCCAATAAATAACCACTTTCTTGGTCCTTCTCGTCAGACTTTATCAATCAAAACTGCTTTCCACGCCATTTCAAATCATTTCGAGTTTCGAATGGCAGGCATATCTCTGAGTTTTCTGTGCGGGCGCAAGGCGCCAGTGCAAGTTCGATGTTGATTCTGAGGTGAAGAAGTTTGTTTTCCATCAGTTCGCCCATGTATGCATGTTTTAAGCAAGTTCGCGTTGCAGTATGATTTCAAGCTGAAAAATAGATGAAAAATATATGAAAAATGGAGGCATGTGTTCGATGATGCAGCCACTGTACAAGCTTGAGTATTTAGAAACTGTCAAAACAAACTTGAGAGCAAATGTGATGCCTATGGCCGCCACTGCAAGGGGTGGGCAAAATTTTACGTTGGGAAAATGAGATAGAGATACTGGTCGTTTAACCACAGATGACACGCATCTATTTTTTGCCAATGCAACCTACTTCTCAGGCTATGAGCATTTATTGTCAGGGAACGGAGGAGAATGAGCACAATGTAAGGTGATCATACGACTACTTTTACTGGAAGAGCAAAGCCTGCGCAGGGTTTGCAGAGAAAATTCCAAGGATGTGGAAGCAGAAGGGACTGGACTCACTGGGATACACAGGGTGGTACGCCTTGGATCTTACCCTGAGAAGCAAGCTCACCAGCTGTCCCTGAAGTAGATCTGACACCTGAACAAGATGCTTTGTTCGCTTTGATCCTCAACACATTTACAATCTTTGACACAACTTCCTTGTCCGGACTTGCTGCAGGTCTTGTTTGGGTGGGTTGCTGATCGTCGTCTCTGTTTGTTGCTGCTACGAGAGCTCCCCCACAGTGCATACCACACACTCATCACAATTGCAAATCGCACACATAGTGCATTTTAATGCCAGTCAACTCCACCGGGGGTATCACTTTCCCTCTCAACAACACCCCCCCCCCCACAACAACAACAACACGGACAACCAAAACCAGATAGAAAGAGACTTAGAGAGGTACTGAAGGCAGTGCTGCAGGAAGAGCAAATAATTATACTGGCATCAAACCAGTTCGAATTACATACTATGGCAATTTGCTACATTTACATAAGTTAATTCATAATTGTCAATTATTCATCGGCGATCCTGGATGACTTCGGTTCTAAAAAGAGCAGTGAGTTAATGCCGGGTCCAGAGCAGTGCTGCATTTCTGCAGGCAACAGTCCACAGAACTGGTCACCAAGAGTTCTGTGCTACTTGACCTGTGATTGCCACTAGAAATAAACTGACCACCACAAATCAGCAGCAAAAAGCTGTTTCCTGGAAAGAGGGTTATTGAAGACCTCCAGAATGAAATACCAGGCCATCCTGGACTCATGCTGGTTTGTGTTATATCAACTTATATGAGATTTGGGGGAACATTTTGATGCATAAATCCAGACAGCATCTGACACATCTTGTTTATTCATTTTTAGGCAAATTTTAGCCTTTTAGATGCATGGTACTGTTGACCTGCCCTGCCCCTCTCCTGTACAGCAATGGAGCTGAAGGTTCACACCTGTACGCCAATAATTGTTGGGGTGATCCCCTGTTCTTCTGGCGAAGAAGATCAACCTCCGTGTTCATTTTAGCCTGCCCCTCTTGTGTACACAGCAATGGAGCTGAAGGTTCACACCTGGTACAACAATAATTATTGGGGTGATCCCCTGTTCTTCTAACAAAGAACATGGACCTCCCTGCAAACTTTTGTGCTCCCCCAGCACGCAGCGCAACCCTCTCTCAAACCTTTATCAAAACTTCGTCTCTCAAATTGTGCAACTTGCACCTCAACTCGCTTGTGACTCTCTCCCCGCAATCGTCTCTTGAACCTTCTTGCAACTTCCCCAACTTCCTCTCTCAAGCTTTGCAAATTCCCCCTCAACTCGCTTGCGACCTTCTCCCCCCATCTTCCCTACTTCTAGCCCACTTCACTAGCGACTTTCACCCTTGGCTTCCCCCCAGCCCCTCAGCGCTTCATCATCTGTGACTCCACAACACCTCACTCAGAACTTAGCCCCCCACCTTCACGGCTCTCCCAAACCTGACTTACAACTTCCCTTCCCTCCTTCACAACCTCCTCCCAACCTCTACCACAGCTTCCCCCCACCCCCCCCCATTATTCACCAAATGACGTCTATACACTGTACAGTGTATACACTGGTATATAAATGTTGTCTCTTTCAAGTTCTGATTCTGATTTACTTCGTTCCCTTATGCCCAAGCACCCTCCTCTGCACCTTCCCTGGCCTTAATCACTAGTTTTATACCCACCTTTGCAACCTCCCTCTGACCTCAGTTACGGCTCCCACTCACCCTCCCTTGCAGACGTTCCCACCCCCCCCCACCTCCCCTCAGCGCTGCACTCCCCAACACCTCACTCAGAATTTCGCCCCGCACCTTCATGGCTCCCCCAAACCTGACTTACAACTTCCCCACCTTTGCAACCCCCCTCTGACCTCAGTATGGCTCCCACTCACCCTCCCTTGCAGACGTCCCCACATCATTCATGACTTCCTGCCCCCCCCCCCCCCCCCCGCAAACTGCCCTCAGACCCCAATTGTGCCTTTCCCCCTACAATCCCCATCTCATTCGCAATTTTATTACCCTCCCTCGCAACCCCTGCCCCCTTTCTTGCAACCTCATCCACTTCACTTATGACTTTTGCTCCCCAGTATGCAACCTTTCCCACCCGATTTGAGACTTCACTCCCTGGCTTCACAACCTCTGCCAACCTCATTCACACTTCCCCCCTTGACCATTTCCCAACCTTCCCTTCTCCCCGCCATTCATGATTCCCAACTCCCCCCCCTTCGTGAAATTTGTTCCCCCTCCCTCCTGGGGATATTTCCTTGTCGTTCTCCCATCCTCCCCCTTCCCCCTGGCCAAGTCCCACCTCTCTGCGTTGCCTCGTGCTCCAACCAACTGACCTCTCACACTTCCCTTCCTTCTCGCATTCATGATTCTGCGCCCCCCCCCCCCCCCCCCCCCCCCCCCCCCCCCCCCCCCCTCATTTTTTTTCCCCCCCCCCCCCCCCCCCCCCCCCCTCATGACATTTATTCCCCCTCCCTCCTTGATAATATTTCTCCCCCTCTCCTTCGCAATATTCCTCCTCTCTTTTGTGGCTCCTCCTTGCTCCCCCTTCAACTCTCACCAACCACCATCTTCCCTTCCTCCCTCCCTCCGTTGCCCGATGCTCCCAACAACTGACCAACCAAAAGCCCTACCGTCCACAAGGTTGCCTGCACGCCCACCCAACTGACTGAAATGCCAGCCCGCTCACCCAACCAGGAGGTAAACTGCACAGACAAGACAGCATCCTAGTGAGGCGATGAACATATACTCTCTTTCATCGAGTGACTTCCAGCACTGCTGGACATAGCGAGGACTGTAGTGATTTGTCAGAATTTTTGTCCTCCTTGTAGGTGGAGACAAGAAATGATGTAAAACATGCTGAACGGTCGACGGTTCAAACTCAGGTCAACTGTTGGGTTCATGTGGTATCATGCCCGAGCTGTACGAGGAAGGTGCTGGGTCCAAAGCCGCTCAGGTTGCTCCTTCAAATGGCTTCAACAAACGAAGCCGCTCAGGTTGGAGCAGGCTACATTTGGCTGGGCAGAGCACTGTCTGACCGCCTGCCAAAGAAACAGTTCAGAATAGAATTGCTTGGCCCTGCCAATAGTGGTGTGGTATCTCATGACCAAAGCCATATTGGCAGCCAGAACACTGAAATCCAGGTCTGTTTGGGGCTAAACTGCATTGTTCAATGGGCAAACAATGGTCATGAGAGCTGAATTATACTTGCACAACGATGGATTTGAGCGCTATTGAAGGTAACAGTTGGGACATCTAAGTTGGTATTCATGTGGCTTGGTTGCAATGTTTTTGCAGTTTTCTCAGCGGGCTGTAGCACTAACTAGGACAATTTGCAATTTTTCAGAGTTCTGGGTCCTAACCGGTCATTGAAACAGGCCTAAACGGTCCCACTGAAACGGTCATTAGTAGATGTAGAAGTTTTCAAAAGTAGGATAGGAGCCCTTATAGACTCAGGGGCTACTCACAGTTATATTAGCCGTAGGGCGCTGAAGAAGCTAAAGCTAGGATTCGAAGTCCAGAAGTTAACAGACCCCATAGGCAGTGTCCTCGCAGATGCGTGTTGAGGACTACGTAGAGGGAGTCCAAGCGTATTTTCGCCTAGAGAAAGATGGGAAAGTGGAGAAAGCTCTCCATTCCCTGACCCTCCTCATACAGGATGACCTCCTTTTTGACATAGTCTTAGGTATGGACCAGGGAGAGGCAGCAGGGGGCACACTCCACCTGAGAGAGCATGAGTGTAGGCTCCCTAGTCTGTCAGGCGAGGTTAAGACGGCCCGTCTGTTTCATGTGCCAGTAGTAGACAACTCCTTGGCACATTGTTGTCTCGGTGCTCCTGCATTCACGCGGTTATTTAAGGAGGAGCAGTTAGAGGAGCAGGTCTTCGTAGCATATGTGAGACCTATCACTGAGCCCAAGGAAGAGAAGCCAGTAGACCCAACTATTGCCAAGCAGCTGGAAGAGTTCAAGGACGACAGGAGTAGTACCGCGGCCAATCCAGCTGGAGATAGAGCCTGGCAGTAAAACTCCTAAGGGAGCGGTCTACAGGATGTCCCCAAGGGAGTTAGAGGAGCTGCGCAAGCAGTTGGATGAGCTCCTCGAAAAGGGTTGGATTATGCCCAATTCGTCTCCTTTTGGAGCACTAGTGTTATTTGTCCCCAAAAAGGAGGGAGAGTTGCGTATGTGTATAGATTACAGGGGTCAGAATGCTATCACGGTAAAGAATGTTGAGCCACTGCCCAGGATAGACGATTGAGTGCAAGGCTTCAATTACTTTTCGAAGATAGATTTGAAGTCCGGATATCATCACATAAAAGTTTATCCTGATGACCAATATAAGACTGCCTTTCGGACTAGATATGGGCATTATGAGTTTATAGTGATGCCTTTTGGACTAACCAATGCGCCAACTACATTTCAGCGATGTATGAATGATTTGTTCAGACCTTGGTTAGGTAGATTCGTCGTAGTTTATTTAGACGACATCTTAGCGTTTAGCAGGACCCTCCAGGAGCTCCAAGGTCATTTGAGACAAGTTTTGGAGAAGCTGAGAGACGCTAACTTCAAGATCAACGCGAAGAAGTGCGAGTGGGCCAAGACACAAGTCTTGTACTTGGGCCATGTGCTAGACAGAGATGGCATTAAGCCCGAGGACAACAAAATAGCAGTGATTAGAGATTGGCCGACGCCCCGCACACTGACAGAATTGCGATCGTTCTTAGGCCTAGCTAACTATTATGGAAAGTTTGTCGGGAACTTCTCTACTATCGCCGCTCCCCTTCGCAGGTTGCTAAGGAAAGAAGCAATTTGGACGTGTGACAAAGACTGTACGTCCGCGCTTAAGAAATTAAAGCGCGTGTTGATAGAGTATCCTGTCCTCAAGGTGGCAGATCCGTCCTTGCCATTTGTCGTCACCACGGACGCAAGTCAGAATGGTATAGGCGCCGTGTTGCAGCAGGACGATGGCAATGGCTACAAACCCGTAGAGTTCATGTCAGCGAGGATGCCCTCAGAGAAGGTATCTACCTCAACTTACGAGAGAGAACTCTACGCTCTCAGGCAGGCCTTAGAGCACTGGAAGCATTACCTGCTTGGGAGGCACTTCAGAGTGTATTCAAACCATGAGACTCTTAGGTGGCTGAAGACAGGCCAAAATGACACCTAAGTTGACTAGGTGGGCCGCTGAGATAGACCAATATGACTTT